TGACGGTGAACCACCTTCGGTTTTACATGGTAGCGGAGCGCTGAGGCGCTCGAGAAGGATATCCTTTGGGAAAGCCGATAGCCGCGAGCCCAGGCACCATGTCAGACAAGGACCCGTTCAAGGACCTGGTCTTCAACGGTGCTCCATCGGAGTATCGGCTGTTCAGGCGGAAGATCCTCCTGAGTGTGGCTTCTCTGGAAGAGAAGCATGTATACTTGGCTGGCCCGCGGATCTTGAACCGCTTGACGGGGGAAGCTTGGCGAGCGACTGAGCACCTCGCCATTGGCGACCTTAGGTCTGAGAAGGGCTGGTTGAGAGTTCTGCAGGCTCTGGACGAGCACTACCGCTATTTGCCGGAGACCGAGCTGAACGAGTGTGTGGACGAGTTTCTCTTCCATTTGAAACGGAAGGGCCACGAGGGGCCCACAGCTTTCGTTTCGCGTTTCAAGGCGGTTCTCAGCCGGCTTGAGACTTTGGTGGCTGCGGAGAAGGCACAGCAAAAGGGATCGACTAAGAGAAGGAGATCGTCGAAGCGGACACCGAGTCCGGATGGAGAGCCTTCTACGAGCAGCTTGAGCTCAGATCATGCTGAGGATGAGGAGCCGGTCCTAACCAAGGACCGGGTGGAAGCGGCGGCAGCGGCCGCTGAGACTCCTTCGGGTGCTCGTGCACCAGCTGAGCCGGCCAGTGTTTCCAAGGGCCCGCGCACGGTCGGCAGCTTCGTGGAGTCTCCTAAGAAAAAGCCCCCTTCAGCAGGCGGCTCTCAGAAGAGCCGCGGGACACAGAAGGCCGATGATGAACGAGCCAACCGACAGATGATGGAAGACTTGGGGAAGCTGGAGGTCGGGCATCTCCGGGTGAAGCCCATCTTCCCAGAAGTGATCCTGGGACATCTGTTCATGAGGAAGTACGGGCTGAATCGGGAACAGAGAAGCCAGGTGATCCGTTCGACCGGTGGCTCGTGCCGGTTCAGGGACGTGGAGAAGGTGATCCGTGCCTCCGACTACGAGGACAAGTTCCACGACCCGAGCTCCCGAGTTCAGTCGTCTCGGTCGACAAGCGGGGCTAATGTCCTTGCTGCCGAAGAGGGCAGCAGCCTGAGTGAGCCCACCTACTCGGACGAGGATGAGGTCAACGAGGCGGCTACAGGCGACGAGGAGAACGACGATGATGAGGACCTCGAGGAGGCCTATGAGATCCAGAAGAAGGCGAAGAACGATGCAAAGCGCGCCTTCCGGAGCTACAAGGATAGCCGGCGACGAGTGAAAGAAATCCGGAAGGACAGGCAACCCTACATGCCTGTGGTGGCGATCCCGCCTTCCTCATCAAACGCGGTTCCCCCCGACGCCTTGCCGGTGCAACCTACGTTCCGGTATGACCGGAAGCCGTCCCGACGGACAAATGACAAGGGGAAAGGCGGCCGCAAGGGCCGCAAGGAGGACGTGAGTCTCGTGCAGGCCTCGTTGGTGACCGAGTTTTCTTACATGGTCTCGGCCGAGGACGCTGCTCCAGAGGATGACCAGGAGATCTTTGCCGTCTCCGTGCCGCCTGGCTTGGCTGTGATAGACACGGGGTGCACCACCTCGGTGATCGGGAGGCGCACAGCTGATCGCTACATCGAGTTCTTCAAGGCAAGGAACATCCCCGAGCCGACTCTGGTCACCCTGCCTCCTGTCCAGCTGAAGGGCTTCAATGGGATGCGCTCCTCCTCAGATCGTGGCCTCAAGTGGACAGTCAAGCTTGGAAGTTTGTGGGGCCAGGTCACGACTTACCTGGTGGAGGGCGAGGCTCCTTTTCTCCTGAGCCGCAAGGTCCTGCAGAGCATGGAGGCCACGATCGACCTCGGCAAGTGCACTCTGTCGAGCGAAAAACACGGACTCAAGAATGAGCCCTTGGCCCAGGCGAGCAATGGCCATCTCCTGATGCCCCTAGTCCCAACCGAGGACTACGAGGACCTGCTCCAAGTGCAGCTGGCAGAGACCCCTGTAGACCCTAAGGAAACCCCGAATGAGCACGAACATCCCGAGCAGGTTTCCCCTAAGACCCCGAAGCCTAGTCCTAAGAAAGACCCCCTTAAGGACAAGGCGGCCGGTGTAGATAAGCGCAAGCACTTCCAAACCATAATGAAACACACCCGATATACCCAAGTGGATACAGGTACCTATCGGTATGAACTTCGGATGGTCTTTGGTCAGGATGTGGACTTTGCTCTGTGTGCCTACAGGCCTAGGTTTGAACGCATTGCCAAACAAGCAGCTTCCTGCAGCATGCAATCATGTGCGGCCCACCTGAACCAAGCAGGTGAACTAGAAATCACGCCCTGGACCCTTAGAGAGCCTTCGGCCAGGAGGGCGGTGTTCGACCGGCCTGGAGCATGCCTCTTTGCGTACCGATACGCAACGGCCCAGGAGCAGGCCGTCACTGCAGATATGTTAGGGAAGCATGAGTCGCTTGAAGTTCCGGCAGCCCGTGCTGCTGAGCCTGAATGCCCGTCTAAGTGTAATTCCGAATCCTTGAAAACAACGGCAGCGACCTGCCACACTGACGCCAGGAGACACTCTTCCTGTGAAGGGTGCGAATGCTGCAGTATGATGATGAGATCTGATGTGAGTACGTCTGGCCGGGAACATCCAAACGAGGAAACCATAAGTCCCCCTGAACTAGAAGCCATGTACGAAGAAGTCGATTGGGTTTCCCTAGAACATCTCCCAATGAATGCCCGAAGCCGAAAGCGTATTGCCCGACAAGTTGAAGCTGTTCGCCGAGTTCCCTTCCAACTTGCCCTAGCCAGCATCCAGGAGCAACCTCAGCAGGTAGAGCAAGAACTTGCAAATTGGCTCGGCCCCCAAGCCTCTAAGCTGAAACAACCAGTGGGCCTCGTAGAGGTGTTCGCCGGTCCTGCAAGCCTGTCTCACCACTGCGAGCGTGGCCGTGGTCTGGCTAGCATCAGGTTAGGAGTTAGCTTCGGTCAGGATTTCAACAAGGCGAAGGATAGGCGGTTGTTGCTTCTTCTTCTGGGTTTTACGAGGTCAAAGGACGTATGGTTTTCGTGGCCCTGCGCAAGTTGGCCGGGGTGGTCGCAGGTTAGCTTGGCCAAAGGTGGAGAGGCTGCAAGGTCTGTGCTAGCCCGACGCAAGAAGGAACGCCCGTTCCTCCGTCTGTTTGAGCGTGCCTGGGCTCTGCAAACCATGCTGGGTGGACACATACATGCCGAGAACCCGGTAGGATCTCAGGTTTGGTCCGAAATTAACATAGGCCCCGCCTTTGAGGTTGATATAGACCTGTGCTCCTTAGGTTCGGTTGATCACGAGACTAAGCTTCCCATCCAACGCCCCACTAAGGTAGTGTCCGCCCTGCAATCGTGCCACTGCCCGGGGCACCAGTCCCATGCACACGTGTCAGAAAAGCCCCGGGATCATGGGGGGCGATATCCACCGAAGTTCTGCAAGAAGCTGGTGCGTGCACTGGCCAGTAGGGACAAAGAGGTTCTTCCAGAGCACGACATCTTCATGCAGACAGACGATGAAGCAGACTCCGAGAGAGAGTCTGACCAAGAGGGCGACCCAGATGAGGAACCGAGGCTGCAAGCCGCCAACCGCAGATCATATGCGGCTATGATCCAAAAGCTGCATGTCAATACTGGCCATGCTTCGGTTCCCCAGATGCTGCGTCTTGCTCAGCGTGCCAAGGCACCGGCCGATCTGATTGCGGAAATTCGGAAGTTCAAGCGCTCTGTGTGTGAAGAACTCCAGGTTCCTCCGACTCATAGAGTAGCAGCCCTACGGCATACAGAGACCCCGAACCACATCGTAGGCCTTGATCTTGTGCAAGTAGAGCTTAAGAAAGAAGGACCCCGTGGACCCATCGAAACCAAATACAATGTCCTTACTGCAGTCGACTATGCCTCCGATTTCGCACAGCAGATCGTCCTGCCAGCTGGTCCGGGAGTTGTGGCTAAGGCTTTCCATGCCATGTGGTGTAGGCCCTATGGACCCCCGAGAGTGGTGTATGTTGATCCGGATCAAAGGTGGGTGTCAGGTGAGTTTCAGGAGTACCTTCGTAGTAATTCCATCACCTTGCTAGACAGTGCAACCGAGTCACACTGGCAACTTGGCCGAGTTGAAATTGCACAACGAATCCTCCGGAACATGGCATTGCGTGTCTGGCGCACGACAGATCGCCCTGCCGAGGAAGTCATCGAGAACTGCTGTGGTGTGCGTAATGAGCAGCTAAAGCGTCACGGGTTCTCTAGTGCACAATGGTTTCTAGGTAGAGAACCAAGGGTCCCCGGTAGCCTGTCAGATCTGACCGAGCAGCAGAACCTTGCAGTTCAAGATGCGGTCCTCTCCGAGAGAGACTTTGCTCAGAAGATGCTTGTGCGTCAGCAAGCTGCAGAGGCCTTCATAGAGGCCCATGCGCATAATGTCTGGGCCCGCACCATCCGTGGTAGGAGCAGACCCATCCGAGGGCCTTACACTGTAGGCCAAAGTGTGTACGTCTTCCGCAGACAAGGGCGTGGTCAGCTTACCACGAGGCACGGTGCCTGGCTCGGTCCGGGTAAGGTTGTAGGCACTGAAAGTTTTTCCCAGGATAGCCCAATTCCCCGTGTCATCTGGGTTGTTGTAAATGGCTTCATGTACCAGTGCTCGCCAGAATGCCTCCGGCCCGTTACCGAGGATGAAGTTGCGTTCAAGCAGCTTGCTCAGCAGTATCACACCGGCCATCTGCCGGAAGAACTTGAACAGGCCACCCCCTCGAGAAGAGGGCCGGCTGGTCGCTTTTTCGATTTGACGGCTGATCCTCCGACCGCGGATGATTTCATGACGCCTCCCGCCTCTGATGAAGAGGGCGAACCTTCGCCCGGTCCTCCAGAAAACCCCTCTGAACCACAAGAACGCAATGTTAGGCGTAGGGTTTCCTTACCAACTGAATACTGGGAAGACAGAGCGGCAGGAGCGTCGCCGCGTGCTGCGGCATCCGTGCGGTTCAGAGAAGAAGCCGAGCCATCTGAGACAGGCGTCGAGCGCCCAGCAGAGAAGGCCCCCAGACTGGATGATCCTGACGATCACCTTAGTGATTATGAACCGTCTCCAGCTGATGTTGCTGACTCTGCAATGGCTGCCCCGCCTGGCACCCCCGAAGGAGCCTGTCCAGAGCCCCCTGACGGCGATGATGCCTTATGTTGCGAAATTGCTCTGGATGTGTTTGATGTTGACCTTGATTCTAAGGGACAAGGATTGTGGACTGCTCTAGAGGAGTGTGCTACCGTCGCGGCCCGCCCGGGGCAAAAGCGGCGCGTTGAAGTGAGTTTTCGCAGACTCAGCCCCCAGGACCGTGAGCGATTCAGGGGTGCCATGAAGAAGGAATGGCAGAGTTGGCTAGAGAACCGAGTCACCAGCATCGCTAAGAGCAAAGGGGTCCCGAAGTCTAGGATCATTGGTTCGCGTTGGGTGCTAACTTGGAAAAAGTCCTCTGATCCTGATGATCGTTCCCTGGCGCCTAAGGCCCGTCTTGTGCTGGTTGGATTCCAGGATCCGGATTTGGGACGGATCGCAACTGATTCACCTACCTTAAGGAAAGAATCCAAGCACATAATCCTAAGCATCTGTGCCAGTAAGGGCTGGGTCATTTGGGGAGCGGACATAAAGACAGCCTTTCTCTCAGGCGATAAGTCGGATCGTCAGTTGTACTTTCGTCCCCCTCCAGAGGTCCGAGAGCTGATGAACCTTAGCGAGGACGATGTCCTGCGGCTTGAAAAGGCAGCTTATGGATTAGCGGAAGCACCTCGCGCCTGGTTCTTGAGATTGTCTAGGGAACTGGTTGCAGTCGGACTGATTGTGTCCCAACTTGACCCCTGCGTATTCTGCCTCCGGTGCTCTTCCACTTCCGATCTGTTGGGAATCTGCGGGGTGCATGTCGACGATCTGCTAGGTGGTGGTACTAGTGTAATGGACCAGTGCTTGGAGAAACTCAAGCTAAAACTGCCATTCGGGGATTTTCGTCGCAAGACCATAAAATACACCGGTGCGGAAATCCGACAGCACCCCGACCACACCATTGAGGTCACTCAAGAGGCGTATGTCGACAAGCTTGAAGAGGTTAGCACAAAGCCCTTTGGAAAGGCCTCCGATCCGCTAAATGAACCGACCTTGATGCGTGCATGCTGTGGTCAGCTGGCTTGGGTCGCCAACCACAGCCGCCCCGATCAGGCCTTCTTAGCCTCTTACCTGCAGGGTGTTCAGGATAAAGCCTTGGTGTCCCACCTTGAGTTGTACAACAAGTCGGTCAGAGAGATGAAGGCCCGACGGATTTCGCTTCGTTTTCCTCCGGTGCCGCTTGAACGCTGGCGCCTACTTGCTGTCACTGATGCGGGCTGGGGCGTAAGAGCAAACGGTGAATCCCAAGGAGGCCTCTTGCTGTGTCTGTGCGACCGAGATGTTTTAGAGCAGAAGCCCGGTAAGACTTGGATAATCGAGTGGTCTTCTAAGAAGTTGCGTCGTGTTGTTCGCAGCTCCACCGCAGCAGAGACTCTGGCTGCTCAGAATGGACTGGACTCCATTGAGTTTGCTCAGGCTTTTCTCCAAGAGACGATCCACGGCATGAGCCCGCGTAAATTCCAGCAATGGACTCCCGAACTCCCATCCGGCCTTGTAATCGACAGTAAGTCGTTGTATGACGCCCTCACTAGGTCAGCCTGCAGTAGTGCCCTGGCTATGGAAAAACGTCTTGCCATTGACTATGCAATTGCCCGGGCGTGCCTTCAGGAGCGTCATGTTTTGCCGTTTTGGACGAACAACCTTCAGATGATCTCCGATTGCTTGACCAAGCTCCGAGGGAACAAAGATATCCTGTACCGTGTCCTCGACACGTGCACCTTCCATGTGAGACCCAGTAAGGAGTCAGGGCGCAAGGAGGCTGCCCGCACGAAGGTGCAGCCATAGTTAATGATAAGCCCAGGAGTCTTTTGTGCATGTGCTTCTAGAGATGCCGAACGTCATCTGTAGTTGTTCTGGGGTGTTAGGCTAGAGCTAGGGACTCTGCTTACGGTGAATTGATCGTTGTTTTGTAGCTGGGTGCCGTAAGTGCACCTGTGACCCTCCTGTACGGCTCATAACCATGTTGTGGTGACCTTTTGTCCATACCACTGCAATCCTGCAACTCCGTTTCCAGAAAAGATCCATCCGAGGCAGTCATATGCCTATGATAGTCAGAAAGCGCTTCCCGTGTGCCAATGCTGAGCGTGTGCGCGTCCATCCGCCGCACAGACTTCGATCTTCCGAGCTTGTTTGCCAGTGTTAGTATCACCCCGCTCCCTTTGCAATATCATGGCGGCCCGGAACCTTAAGCAGGCTCGCTCCCAGCTTGAGCCAATGGCTCATGACGAGCTCAAGTCGATGGTCAGCGGCTGTGTTGCGAACGGTCAGCTGGAGGTGCTTCTGGCGGAGATCGATGCCCAGCGCCCCGACAAGATGGTGAGGCGCAACGGCCCTGGCTCCGACAGTGGCTTGTCTGACTATGCGGTGGTGAACAGCCCACCAAGTCCGGCGGTTGAGGCCAGGAGTGCCCCCTCAGGACCTCTCAATGGGCCTCCCGTGCCGTGTCCAGTGAATCAGCCGATCCGCAATGGTCCTCCGGTGCCATGTCCAGTGAATCACCCGGCCTACGCCGATGGAGATCGTCGCCGTGCCCCTGCGGCCCCGAGCTCTCCGGCATCTTCCCTGCACTTTGACACCAGCTCCGAGACCGAGACGACCAGCTCCTATCAGGTCGAGCACGGCTATGAGGAGGAGTACAAGTTGCCCAGGGTGACTTCCCACAGGCTGCCGCATGGCCTGAGTAGCCTTCAGCAGTGGGGCCGCTCCCTTCTGACGTTGCCCAAGTTCGCGGAGAAGAAATGGTCCTACAAGAAGATTCTCGAAGTGGGCTGGAACGACAAAGATGTGTTGTCGTACCTTCGCTGGATCCGCTCCACCTACTACCAGGATGCCAGCAGGCCCGTACCGGGCAAGGCGAGCGACCTCGCGGCCTTCCTCATCGCCACCGACTACCCGATCATGGCTCGGCTCGGTCAGGTTGGACCCACGAGGGTCTTCGTAGACGAGTGAGAGGCACCCGCATACAGGGCACCAGCTGTCCGGATTGATCTTCCTATGGCCATGTGTTTTCAGAGATTTATTGTAAGATGACTGGCCCTTGTACGGCCTACTCTGGAAAAGTCGCAAGCTGAGCATTGAGGGCGTGTGAAACCGCTCTTGCAGAGAGCTGTGAATGCCCGGCTTGCTCTGGGGCTCAAGGGCCCTTGGAACTCCT